CATCATGGGTAACTGATTTCACCTTGATAGAACAAACGTTAATTCAATGTGACTACTTGTTGGAGTCTAAGTATTTGAATGATAAGTCAGTGCAACGTGATCTATCCAAATTAGACACATCAAAAAACAAGATCTTAGGAATTCCAGGTTGATCTATGTGGTATATCCTTGAATTTATCTTCAAGTTAATCTAAAAGCGATTGTTGTTTATGAAATTAAAATCTAAATATGTTTTCCAGTTATATGTAAAAAACTTTAAAAAAAATCAGACGGGATGATTTATTAATATTGCTTAATAAAGTCTTACATCTTTGAGAGAACAAAACTCCTCGAATTTTTTTTAGTTATCTAAACTTATGTAAAATATGTTGATTAAATGACTTAACAACAAGTAGTTTCATTTGAAATCAATCATCATCTATGACGAAATAAACTCAGTCAGTCACAATGTACAACTTCGTACGTTCGTACATCAATTCGAGTTGCCATACCACATTAGCACATAGATACAATTAAAGATTCAAATCCCATATTGATAGAAGTAATAAAAGTATAAGCAACACACTAAACCATGTTGATAATGATCAAATCCTTCTAACACCTCCTAAAAACTCTCTTATCTGCACAACTAACCCTTCTCCCGTTTCTTCATCATCCCACACCTCTAGTGCAGACGAAATAAACAAGATGAATAACATCGTTTACAGAATGAGTCACAAAAAATTGACCTATTCTCACTTATTAACAATTACTTAATTAATTATTTCATAAGTAATAAAATAATTATAATCAATATATTCAATATACTGTACTTATGAAATTAATCTCATATCGCATTGAGTCAAAAATCTAAACAAAATATTATTATAATACGTTGGCATGGCACTTGATTATCATAGGGATCATAATTTTTTTTTTACATTTGATCTAACGACATTATTCGTTTAGTTTAGGTCAATGATTTATTTATTATTTTTTTTAAAAATGTTTTCAATGAAAAGTGTATAAATTGTAATCCAATAAATCAATTCACATAGATGTATTTAATTTACAGACAGGTTTAAACAAAAATAAATTGAAATATGATCAGAATAAAAAGTACTCTATATAGTTTGCAGGGTGTTTTTCCTTATATTACAAATGTTGGTAAATTATAATTGGTAATTGTAATTATAATATTTAATTGAATTCATGAGTCAATATAAGTTAGACCACTATTGAAATATCTGGAATCATTGGTGATCTTTTAACTTATATTGGACTCATATATTCAACTATTAAAATTACTACAATCTCGATAAGCACTATTCTAATAATCATTGTATTGATGTTTAGTTCCAATGAAATCAATAATATGTTGTCTTTGGTTAGTTTGTTGTATAATGTTACTTTTATAATTGGATATGAATCTTTTTGAATATCTTTTAGAAACAATATATACAATCGACATTTGGTAATGGGTAATTTGTAAAGATTTAACCAATCCGATAATAGGTTTTCATTTCAAAAAAATTATCTTGGATGCGCACTGCTGAAAAGTTTCATACCAGGACTTCAAGGTTTTCCATGGTGGTCTAGCTTCAATTAATTTATAAATTCAACCATTAGATTACTATATATTATCCACAAAAATCCCTCTCCGAAAAAAATTATTTGCCGGAAAACAATTACAAAGCAAGGGGAAAATTACGGATTATTTTGGGCCAACTTGTTGCTCTTCAATAGTGTATGAATATGATCATATCAAAGCATTGACGTCTAACAACAATAGTCTTATCTTTAACCCATTGAATTGTAATCTAATAACATATTTTTAAAAGAAGTCAATCATGATATAGCACCCAAATCTTGCTTAATTTCAAAATAATTATAGTTCTGCAATTAGAACGTGTCATTAAAGTGTTGAGTATTCAACTCAAAATCAGTCACTAATAAGTATGAGATTAGTATTTGACTAAATGAATTATGATGACTTGTTTAATTTTATTAGTAGACTTTCATCATACTACGTACTGAAATATCTTCAATATGTAGAGAGATAATTATGAAGCCGACAGTAGATGAATTATACTTTCTTATCATATTTAATAAATAATAAATAATATTATCTAGTTAATTACACATGTTAAGTCTATAAATGCAAATGAACATCGTAATACATCTTTGTTTTAGTATTCGTTATTTTATTTTTCAAACCCTTATATAATATGACAATTCATTTTATTTAAATAGAAGGTTCTTGAAATTTGATCTTGAAAGTAATCCCAACACAAATACAAGATAAATATTCATTTTATATATCATAAAATCAACAACTACTTAAAACTGTTCAAATAAGATATTTAAAGCAATTAGTCCCTTTGATAAATTTCGATAATGTAATAAGAAGACTGAGATTATCAGAAATATGCGATATATTAGTGCAATACTTTTCAAACAATTTGATCACACATATACTTGTTAAGAGCATTTATATATAAAATAAAAGGTCAACTAGACTGGAAGTGGGGTAAGAGGAGATAAGGATATAATAGTAATCTGAACACAATTCCAAACCTAATCACTCTGGATAATAAGTCAATATTACCAGAGTAGGTTTAAGGTAAGAACAAACTGTTTTTGAATACACAAAGATGGTTTGAATTTTCGTATAGTTAAGGCTTCAATAAACCTTAGTATACGCCCTTTTACACTTTATACAATAACACAAAAGCCGAGTTTAGATTAATCTTATGCTCTGTTTCAATTACATGTGTTAGCAATAGAGGATGATGGATGTTTATCCTCTGCTCTTATTGTGTCACTTGATTGTATTTGTTTCTGCAGCCATTCGGGTACATGCTCACTCACCCTAATGATGAGATCACGATTGCTCCTCCCTATGTATGTGTAAGCACACACACACATTTAAATTGGTAAACACAGTGAGATGTGACACAATCGTTTTTCTGTGTGATCAGATTGTTCGAAATGTATTTCGCTAATATATCATATAGTTCTGATAATCTTCGTCTTCTTATTACATTATGGAAACAAATCAGATATGATTATGACAATAATTTGGGATTGTTTTCAAAATAAACCCCCCACCCTATCATTTTTGTAATGACTCCTTTGATGTTCCTATATAATTTCTAACAATTCCAAAATAGTATTCATGGTTAACTACTATGAGGATATAACCAAATACATTTATCTATTAGTAATTGAAAACATTTTATAAACCATAAAAAAGTTCTAAATAGTGATAAATGATCTATCAAATATTTATAAAGTTAAATTTATGATTTTTAATAAACCACAAATACATTCTATTCAAACGGATTCTATGTTCATATTTAATGTTTTCAAAAAAATAGAAATCATTTGAGTGGCATGTATAGTTAAAACATTACTTAAGTAAATATTCCTGGATCATTATAGTGATATTATTATTATATATAAGTTGTAAGTAATTCATATACACAAAACGATTTATTAAGTTTAATTATATTTATTTATCAAGTAATAAATATATCAGTTTACTTTTTATTTAATTTCAATGATTAACTGTTTAGGACTTAGCTATATTCAAAAGCTCTTTAGATTCTAAACTTTCTTATATATGTTTAATTAATAGAGCTATTGTTCAATCAATTACGTAACTTATTTCTAAATAGTTGATCAAATTTCTAGTACTATACAAAGAAGGATGTATGTATAACATAATTAATATTTAAGATGAATTCAATTCACTTTAACGTTTTTATAGCATATGTGCAAACTTTGTTGAATTGAAAACTTATGGGAGAACCAATGACATATAAGAATAACAGGTTTTGGATTTTGTTGTAAAGTTCACTCATCCATTTAACTAAATGAAGGTTTAACATTATAGCTAATATCAGTTCGTGATGAAAACCATAAATCTAATTCCTAACCTTAACTATCAACTGTTAATCATAATTCTAATTCTTCACATTGATTTATAACACTCATTTGGTCCTAGTTATTAGGTGGACACAATCTAAATCACTTTAGCATCATTCGAAGGTCGTCCATAAATTAGTCTCACCGAATATTCTTTTATCAAAAAGATGATCTAATTATTATTGTCGGTAATTAACACATCTTCAGCATAAATTATTCATTCTTTTGTATTACTTTGTACTGTCACAAAACCATCTCTAAACAGATCACTATGATGCTTTTCTACTGAAAAATTTAGAAGTTAACACAATAAAGACAACAATACATATCGTTTATTTTAAAATTTATAACAGAAGTGAACAATCACTAAAATTCTATACCACATTTGAAAGAGTGATGTACCTGTAGAAATACTCTTTCTTATTGAATGATCCCTATAATCTGTTTTCTTTAAATAAGCATAAGACATATACTCAATATAAGACTAGTTGATCATCTTATAATATTATAATGTTTATTGGAAATATTTATTGATACTACAAATAATCAATCATACAGATTTCTTTTAACATACAAATTTTTTTTTTGGAAAAAAATTATGCTCAAATATCCAGAAGTTATATTTCAAGTAACATCGACGAGACTAATAAAAATAATCAAATTAGTTTGTTTTTTTTTGTTTTGTTTTTTTGTTTTTTTTTAATACTTAAAATATGTTTCTACCGCACTAACCTTAATTAAGAAATGATTGGTCAGTTTTGATTCAGTATACTCTTTGGTCAAAATTGTCTTACTAGCGAATAGCTATGTAAGAATAAAAACTTATACTGAATAAAAACTTAGCATTTTATCATTATACTAATAAAATATTTAATAATGAAACATGTTACATTATTCATAAATTATTTATAGTGTAGACTATTCTATTCTATTAAATTCCTATATTCTATATAAAGTAATTATTTATAAAAAATATACAAATAAAAGTTTATCATTATCATATTCAATAATTGTGATATAATAACCTTCTTTAAAATTAATATCTTAATATTATTGATAATTAAAATAGATCATTTTAATTCAACTATTTCATGAATCATAATACACCGATAACTTGTTCTAGTATTATTCATCAATTAGATCAACAAATTTATTATATAAATGATCATCGATTAAGAACACAATCTCAATATTGTTTACCATCATCTGAAATTCATCAAAATAAATTAGAAACAAAAATTGTAATTGATGAAATTCATCATAATCAACCTAATAATTTATTATCTTCAGAATATCAAGAACCTATAGAACATAATTTCAATGTGTTTACTCAACATAATAATGATTTAATGAGTAATTCAAGTGAAAAATTAGATATACCATTAAAAAATCAACAAAGTATGAAAAAAAATCATATAACAATGAATAAATTAAATACAAATTTATCAAATGATTTGATATATGATAATGAAAATAAATGTATAACAGTGAAATGTGAAAATATTGGAAATAAAAATGAAATACAATCGACTAATTCAGATAATGTTATACAAGGAAATAAACGTGAAACATGGGATTCAAAGATTGATTTTTTATTGGCTGTTATTGGTTTCGCTGTAGATCTTGGAAATATTTGGCGATTTCCATTTATATGTTATCGTAACGGTGGAGGTAGGTCTAAGTAAATTTTTAATATATATATATATATATATATATATATATATATATATATATATATATAACTAAGGAATTTAAGGATCTTAATGTTGATTATAATTACATTTCAATTCCATTTTATTCATGAATAATAAAACATTAAAATCCAAACTGATGTTGATCTATGATCAAAAATCCCTTCATACTTTGATACATAAATAATTTTTTTTTCAGAATAAAAATGCTGATATATATATATATATATATATACAGTGATTTATGACGTAAAATTCTGTAAAATGTACTAAAATCAACATGATCTCGTTCAAATCAGTCGACATAATTAATTACATTTGTTGCTTAGTGTATTTGTGCATTTAAAAAAAAACCCAATAAAAACATGTATATTATTGTAAAAATTACGAATTAAGGCTAAATGTCACCAAAATGATACATAATTTTAAAATATTTAAGTACAAAGATGAATTAAACTTCAATCTGTTGTATAAACTAGTGGCTATCTGAACTCAGTTGTTAAGTGGATAACGCGATTGCGTTTGAAGTGAACGGTACTGGGTTCGAGCCCTAGAGTGAAGATTAACTGTGGAATGCACGTATATCCAGCCGACCAGTCTCAAATAGGGCGTCCTGAATTCCACTGCCAGCTACTATCCATCTTTGTCTAGAATGTTTATGAATTAAGACAATATCAAAGCAATCCGCATAGAATGCACATTTGTCAATAAGAGGCTGACCAATTGTAGTCCTAGATATTAATCAGAAGATTCAAACAACCAATACAAAAATGAATATCTATATAACTTTGTTTAAAATTACGAAACATAAAATCATGCTAGTTCAATATGGTCGAAATAACCCTAAAAATAACTATTCAACTTCTTTTTCTAAATATCTTCCATCAAATTATGAATTATAGAATATAAATAATATTTTCATTTTAGTGTAATTATAAGGTGGTCTAACTTCAATTAACTCAAAATTCTCAACTATTAAAATTAATATAATATCCACAAAACCCCTTCTAATATAAAATGGTAGGTGACATTTTCGTAACTAAATTTTTATTCAATCAAATCAATTAATGTACTAAATGAAATAAGCAACAACAAAAAACTAACCCAAATACTTTTATTGAATTCAATAAATTACTTTAGTATCAGAAGTGGTTTTTGTGGATATTATATTAATTTCAATAGTTGAGATCGTGAGTCAATTGAAGCTAGACTATTATGGAAAACTTAAAAGCACTGAACGGCCGTTTCGTTCTGTTGTGAGACTCCTCAGCCATGAGCATCCACAACCCCACCTTGCGAGATTCGAACCCGGGACCTATCAGTCTCGCGCTTTCAGGTTTTCCATATTGGTCTAGTTTTAATTGACTTATGTTCTCAACTATTGAAATGACTTTAGATAAAATCATTTAGAACATTGATACGATCTTGAATTGATGAAATCATCTAAAGCTACAAATCTATTCCTTATTATTTCGTATAATAATGATCTTAATCAATTGCATAATTTTTCAAATATATATGTATCACAATTATAAATTTTCTTTTTACAACTGATGTGATAATGTGAATTATATGCATCAGAATGATCTGATATTTTGAAAGTGATCATTAAACTAACATTTAATGATCTAAAGTTTTTAAGTAATCATGTATATTTAAAGCAATTAGTCCTTTTGATAAATTTCGATAGTGTAATAAGAAGACGTTGGTTATCAGAACTATGTGATATATTAGCGTAATACATTTCGAACAATCTGATTATACATATACCTATTAAGAGCACTTATATATAAAAATAAAAGGTCAACTAGACTAGAAATGTAGGATATAAGGAGGCAAGGATAATATAGAAATAATATGGTGTTGTCCATAAGTGCAAAAAGGCGTATACTAAGGTTTATTGAAGCCTTAGTCATACGAAAATTCAAACCCCCTCTGTGTGTTGAAAAACAGATTGTTCTTACCTTAAACCTACCCTGATAATATTAGCTTATTATCCAGAGTGATATGGTTTCAAATTGTTTTCACATTATTTGCTTGATTATCATTATCTCCCCTTACCCTCCATTTCTAGTCTAGTTGACCTTTTATGTAAGATAATTAATCCAATTAAAAATAATTTATACTCTATGATTAGAAACTATCCAAAAATTAATATTCCATTATAGGTACATAGACAAAAATAAATAAACTTACATTTTACCAAATAAGTTGCACTGAAACACCTAAAAATCAAAGTTTATCAATCAAATTAGTATATCTATGAATAAAACTAAAATTAACTATCTTCTATTCTTATGATGTAAGTCTTTTCATCGGATAATCTGAAGGGAGGTTATATTCTGAAAGATATGGATTATTTGATAAATTAATAGAAACTTACTTCTAACCTGTTACAACTGATTTCGTCAGTTTCAAAGGATTTATCATTCTGGGAAATGACTTATAGATTATGGATCATTAGACGTAGTATTTAACTAACTTTATTAATTACTTAATCTAATTGCCATTCACTATTGAACAATCAATTAAACTTTGTCAATTTGTTAGTTGGATTCATCCACAGAAAGATTATGACATGTTATTTTAGAAGACGAAAACTAATCAATAAAGTCAAAATACATTTCAGATAATCAGTCTATTAGTAAAAAAGTTATGCTTTTAACGAGAACAATAATATTGCTAAGCTATGCATGAGATGTAAGATGGTGGTTGAAGGTAGACAACAGGAAACTCTCGACTTAGATTTCGAGCTATTTAGTACGCGTCAGCAAGGTGCACCTATAAGCTTAAAGGGACTGATGCTTCCTGTAGACTACCTCCAACCATCATCTTACATCTCAACATAATGCATGCGATGTAGAGCCACTAAGACTAGTGACCACATTTAAACTTGATTGATATAATTCCATCTGCACTAAGAACGACTAGACACATATTATTATTGGTTAATACCTACTGATTAATAAATTGCTCATTTATTCATGGTCATGAAATCAATTGTACCAACGTGGATAAAAGGTATTTTAATTAATATCATGATAAATTTGTTATAATCTATTAAAGTTTAATTAAAAACTGATAAAAATTGCTTACCTTAAACTGATCAATAGGTAGTTATAGATAAATTGTGTTTTTATATACTAATGTACGATTGGTTGTGATTGTTAAATTGGTTATCTCATTAGGATTTGATAGTTTACAATGTATAAATTCATACCTTTGTATTGAATTACATTAAGATATTTTTACATTACCATTTTAGTCAAGAATAAATCAGTATGTATGTCAATCATGTGACATCTGTTACTTTAGAAACATTGTACACAGGATTATTTGTAACATTTCTAAAGTTTTAGTTCAATCTATAGCATTAGATTTTATGTTCAACATTGATTGAACAGAGAACTAATAGTGTAAGTAAAGAATACACTAAAATAAATGGATAAAATATTTGCAAATGTCCCAATGAGTAGAGAAATTAAATTTTCTGGCGTTTCGTGACTTAGTATAAGCTACTTCTTCAGGGAATAAGTAACCAAGTCACTAAAATGTTTCACTACACATCTATTCACTGTTTTACTTTCTAAATGATTATGTGTGTAGAGGCGTTTACTAACTAAATATATATGTATATGATTAATAGTAATAATATAGACAGTTCACCAGTAATCATCAACCATTATTAGTTTGATCATACAGGAACTATTAAAGAAAATAATTCAATAAATAATGTGTTTAACGATTTTCAAATCCATTTATTTAAGATTTCAGCAGCCATGTTTCCTTTAAATTCCATATTCATAAACAAGGTTTTTTTCTGTACTGTCGATGCTTTTTCATGATGAATCTGTTCCAATGACACAATAGATGAGGAACTATTTCAACTTCGACAAACTCTCATTAGAAATGGTTATCCACCTAGATTCGTTCATAGTAATTTAACACCTAGGCTTTATCATGTATAAGTATCGACAGTACAGAAGAAAACCTTGTTTATGAATATGGAATTGAAAGGAGAAACGGCTTATGAGATCTTAAATAAATAATATGTTTCATTAATAAGATGTGAAATAATCATCTGAAAGTAGAATATATTGATGAAACATGAATAATGCACAGATAGTAATTAAACTATGTTACTCAATAGACGATTGGATTATTCTAAGAAAAATGACCATAACACTCTGAAGAGACTGGAGAAAAAAATTAACCGGATGATGTAATAAAATAAGGTAATAAATAATGAAACAAATGAATATTCTTTAAGCAAATTAAAATAAAAATGTTCAGTTTGATGGAAATTAAATCAAAATAATCAACTACAAGTTGATCATATTTTTTTTGGATAATCAATAATCAAACGCAAATTATTGATTATCCAAAAAAATAATGTGATCAAATTGTGTATCAGTTATTGCTTCAAAAGAACCCCTAAATGCCCTGGTACGACCGATAGTGGGGAGAGTCTGCTCACCCTCTCGAAATGCTCTCACATGACCACGCGTATACAGCTTGTGCCAGGGAAGTTCTACTCACTGCCTTCTCCCACATCGGGTGTTGTTTACGAAATTGAGGGGACGAAAAGCGAATGTCTAGCGCTTTAACCGGGTTGATGGACATGGAGAGTTCATCTAGGGGAGTTGGAAAACCCTGATTCCAAACCAATGGTGCACATAGGCTCCAGTATACTGAAGGAACAAATGGCGTATGAACCAATTGTTGGTCACCGGCAACCATGGGACTGCGTCTCCTTACGATGCTCCACTGCCTTGTGGATCAGATTTTTAGGTCAAAGGCTTGGGGAGTGGCCCCCTAAGAAAACCACATATTTTGGTTTGGGCACCCGGGTAGTATCCCAGCCTTCACATAAATCGAATGATTTGTGTGGCTTATATCTATTTGGTGCCTTCTTGTACTAATGTTTATGTGTTTAAAAAAATAACAAATGAATAATAACGTTTCGAAAGGATAATAGAT